CCAGTGGGTTTGTGGCCACACTGAGTTTGGAGAAGCCCCGGTAAAGACTGGGGGGACACTGGGAGGACAGAGGTGACGGGGAGGAGCTGAAGGGGTGAAAGGAGAAGGTTTTTCCCTCTGCTTAGGGCAGCAGGAGCAACTCAGTTTATGCTGGGGAGTGGAGGAGATTAAATCAGAGCTAAGGCATAAACTAAGGGTCAGAGGAGGCCAGTGATGTCCCTGTGCCTCGCTCTGATGAGGATCAGGCAATTAGCAAAGCAAGCATGAGAATAACCTGGCTGGAACAGGGAGAGGAGGAGAGAGCTGGGGGTGTGAAGGAAGAAAATCAATTGCTGGCCCTAATGGAGAATTATCTAGCCGAGAGTTATTCCTAATCCCATCAGAGTCTGGCTGGGAAACAAATTCTCCCGGCTCTGCCATTCTGAGCACAGCCAGAGCGCGGTTTTCTGGGTCAGTTCATTTTCCAGCAAAGCCGGGCTGGGGCAGGGCTGGAGGAGCGGAGGGGAGAACCGAGCGGCTGGATAGGCGGCCCCGGCGGCTGGAGGGCACCCGGCAGGCTCTGTACGGGGCGTGTCCCCCCCCCCCCACCGTGGTGGCTTGTGCCTGCAGGACCTGGTGGCCAGGGGTCCCCAGGGCAGTGGGCAGCCAAGTGACTGCACCCAACAGCAGAGCCCAGCAGCAGGACTGGGACCCGCGGCCGCTGTGCTCCCAACAGTCACCCCTGTGTCCCTCTTGAGCCTGCTCAAACAGGAGCAGATTCTCCTGGCGACTCGCAGAAATGGGAGAAGAAAGCACAAAAGGAGAGCTGTCTGTGCAAAGGGACAGGCTCCTGCCAGGCCACCGCAGAAAACATCCCGAAGCGTGACTTAAAGGCACTGCTCGGCAAACATGAAAACCTTCTATAGAAGGGAGTTATTTTGGTGACTGGCAGCTGCTGCATCTCACGCGTCTCCTCCTGCTCAACAGCCCCGGGTCTTGGGGCCAGCCGAGATGATGCTGGAGCAGCAAGACTGTGTGAGCTTTCAGCGGAGGCAGGATTTGCCCTTTCCACCCAGCAAACGCCATGACTGACGTCTTCATGGAGCCGCCTTCCCACCCTGCGATCCCATCCTGAGTCCTCAACAGCCGCGACCACAGGACTCTCCACTTTCCTCCCACATGGAAACTCCCAGCCCTCGCAAATGCTGCGAAAACCCAGAAACAAGGATTCCCTAATGAGCAAAGATGCCAAGGAGACAACTTGAAAGAAGCCACTGCTTATTTTTAGAGACAACCTTATGATTCTTGAGCACGTGGCCCAGGCAATACTGCGCAGGCAGCCACAGATTGGCCACAATCTGCTTTTCTTCTTGATAGACATCATGTCTGAATCTCTATCTCCACAAGCTGCTCCCAGGAGAGAAGACATTTAGATACGACCACAACGTACAACATTTCTAAAAGGTCACTGCATGTACGAGGGAACGAGGCGCAGAAGCCACTCATCAGCAACAGGGGCTTTGGGGATGTGTTTAATATTCCACGAGCATCTTTATTTCTCTACCAAGGTGAATAACTCCTCTAAAACGAGGGAAGGGGGAGCAGGGCAAGTGGGTGCCGTAATCTTATTTCAACCCAAGCAGTTGGACCAAACCACCTTTTCCTCCAGCCAGATCTGAATTTCAACAGCTACTGGGAAAAGTTGGCTGAGAGCAAACCTGACCGGGATCTCAACAACTTCAGTACCTGCTGGACCATACGGGAACTAAGGTTGGGCTTGACGCCCCGTCTTCAACTGTGCCCCAAAACACCTTGTTCCAAGCAAGCTGTTCCACTAGCACCCGCCAGAAACACTTCAGCTGAGCTTGGCTTTAGGCACTGGTCCCCATTTGGGCACCAGGGGGTATTTTTTGAGGATTCCCAGCAAGTTTCTGCTGCACAGTGAGAAGTTCTCATTTGCAGAAAAGCCTGTTAACATCACGGGCAGGACGCTGAGGGTCTGGAAGGCAAATGCAGGCTGACAGCCCATGTCCCCGGGACTTCCCCCCCATGTTTTGCCATCACTGTCTGTCACCAGACCCCCGTGGCAACCCTGTCCCTGAGCACCCACCCAGCTGGGAGAGGACCCAGCAATGAGCTCAGAGGCAGCCTGGGTCTAGGAGACCTGCCCCCTGTTAAAACCACCTTCCTCTCCCACCTAAGGGTAGGATACAGCCCAGAGGCTCCGGGCTTTGCAAAGCTCCCCACCCAAACCAAAGCTGCCTCAGCTGAACCAACCCAGGACCCAAGGTTTGCCTCTGCTCAGGTTCCTTCCCGGCCAAGCACCGGGAGTGGGGATGGGGAACCTGAGCCCCTGGGAAACATCCTCCTGGCATCTTGCAGTGTTAAAGCCCATGCCCCACCGTTGCCAAAAGATTTACAAAATGCGAGCCCGTAACGGCCCTGGCTGGCGCAGACGTGACAGTCAGGCACGCACACATCCTGGCTACGAGCAGAACGGCTCGGAAAAGAGGGCTCCGCTCCTGGCAATGGCTCCTGCCCCCACGGAGACACAAATAAAGGTCATTAAATGAGAGAGGGGAATTTGCTCCTTCTCCTGCAGCTGCTTCCCCCCCCCCGCCTCCCGGGGCGCGCGGCCGCTTTATGAGCTCCCCACTTACCTTCTGCACCAGGGCTGCCGAAACGCAGCCTGGGAGCAACACCCCAGTAGGAAAACCTTGGCAGAGGAGGGTGCCAAAGCCAGCGTGCCACGCTCGGCTGGAGCCATGGGGAAGGGGACGGCGGGAGCGCGCGGGAGCCCGGCCAAGCAGGATGCACCCAGGCAGAGCACGGGCTGCGCTGGGGCCGGTGGTAGGGAGACCCCACGCTGTCCCCCCCAGGCTGGGAACACCCGTGTCCTGCAGATGCATCACCCAAAGGGGGTCGTAAGCAGCGGGGAGAACGTGCCACTTCGTCACACGAAGGGACCCAGTGCCTCCGCTCCTCTAACCCAGGCAGCTCCATAATAAATGAAGTGCAGGAGCAGGATGATTAATAATCATAACAGAAAAGCATACACTGTAATTAGCCACCTTTCAGAAAGCTGATGGCAGAGCCCTCCCGGCGCCGCCGGCCGAGGACTTCGCAGCAGCCTGCGTGCCAGCTGCCTCCCCGCAGGCTTGGCCCCATAAAATGACCTCATTTGTCCACCTGGTCCACCGCGCCAGCCCTTGTTAGATTAGGTCGCTCGTTAAGCTCAGCATCGTGGTGATGCTGGCCTGAGCCCCTCGGGGGGGTGGCACATAACTCGCAGCGTGATCGATGCCTCTAGCGCTGGACCTTTGACGGCAAAGCGCACTCTTAATCCCTTACCTCAACTGCGGTGGCACCCAGCGTGGTGCTGGGTGCTGCACAAAATGAAGTCAAGGCAGTCCCAGCCACCTCTCTGGGGCTCATGGATAAAACGACAGCCATTTCCAGACTTGACCCTCAGAAGGAACCTTGTTCCTGAGGGTTTGGCCCTATGGGGGTGCCCTCACGCACAGCAGGAGGTGCAGGGGTCCCCGGCATGCCGGAGAGCCCGGTTTCCCTCTGGAGAAGGAGCCTGGAGCCATGGGGCAGGCTGCTGCCAGCCCATGGGCACTGCACCTTGGGAGGGTGATGCATGATTTGGGAGGGCCACGCATCATTCAGGAGGCTTTAATTCCACCGGACGGCTGGACTCATGGGCAGGATGAACAGACTGATGGGCCAGACTGACAGACAGATGTCTGCTCCGAGGACAGGGCGGGAGAGGCAGCCATGGGTGGAAAACAACCCGGTCCCAGCAGGACTGCTTGGCTTTCTGCAGGAAAAGAAGCTCGTAGCTCTGTGAGCAAACCCCTGCGGGCGCAGAGGGGCGAGAGGTGCAGATATGGAGCCCCCGAGCTGCTGGAAACCCTGCTCGGAGTGGGAATCCCAGGCGAGGGGAATGCAGAGAGCAGCCTTCCCTCCACCTTTCAGCTCCGCTCAGCATCAATCCGGGGCTGAATACATTTCTTAAGACCTGTCTACAGCTGCTGCATTGGAAATTTTATTGCCATCCCAATTACGATCATGGGAGCAGCCAGCAACAAAAGCAAAATGCCATCAGAGGGTGAAATAATGCTTGACATTGCAATCTATACCTTGTCCTGCCAGGCGGGGGTGAGACCAAACCCCAGACTTTAATAAGTCCCCGAGAGGGGAGGGGGACGGGCGACTCGTCCCAGCCCTGCCTGAGCCCTGCGGAGAGCAGAACCCCCCCAGCCTCACCGCTCAGGTTTCGGAGGGGGCTGGCTGGGCCGCAGGGGGGTCCAGCTGTGCCGCCCCCACATCTCCTCCAGGCTGGAGATTGCAGCGAGCGGTGACATTTGGAGCGAGACACGCTGGCATCGGTCCCCAGAGCTACAGCTTCGGGCCATCAGCTGTGGCTGTGGGACCCGGGGAACATCTCCTTTCCCATACGCAGCCCCAAAGAGGCTCCCCAAAGTCAGAAGTCTCCATGGCAGGAGGGGAAGGGGACGGCAGGGCTGTATCACTTAATTCCCTGTCTGGCATCTCGACAGCAGAGCAAGGGCAAAGCCTGCAGAGCCCCTCTCCCAGGATGGAGCTGGTGGGATCCCAAATCCCCGTCCGAACCCCGAATCGCTGCTCTTCAAACCGATGTTGCGCCCGGGCCCCCCTGTGACCAAGGCTGGAGTCTGCCGGCAACCTCGCAGTGAGTGCCAGAGCTTAACGCCCCCGAGCTTCGCATCGCATCCCCACCCCAGTTACTTCTTGCTCGGTTTTGGGGTTGTGGGCAGGAGATCTCAGCCATTACGTGGGATAAAGCTCCTGCTTGCCACTACTGAGCACTCAACACTGCAAAAGGAGGATGAGGAGGGAGCTAATGCCACCAAGCAGGGATGGCCATGAGCTAAAAATGAGCTGGATTTCAAGCATCCCAGTGCACAACCCCACCCCTCCGGTACAAGTGATGATGTGACCCCCCCTTGCCCCACTCGAGCCCCGGGAGTGCTCACCGTTCTGCAGGTCCGGGGTTGCACCGACATCTGGGTCTGCTGTGGCATCCGAGACCGGGGATATTTACATGGCAAAGTGTCCGGCACTGCCAGCCTCAGCTCTTCTGGACAAAACAACATAAGGAAACAACTGTAAACCACCATTCCACAGTGTCCAGCACAGAAATCCCAAATAAATGCCCCCGAAAGCCCAAGGACATGGCACACAGGCACCTCCCAGTGAGGGGAAGCATCCTTTAGCCTTGCTCCAGCCTGACGTCTGACCTGACCATTGCAGCTTGCCTTATTTTATATATATATATATATATATATATATACACACACATATACACACACACACACAAAATCAGAGAGCACTTTGTGCCCTGAAGGATCCCTTACAAACAGGGGAGCGTCCGAGCCCAGCACCAGCGCGGCCAGCTCTGGGGTGGAGCGAGGGGAAACGCAGCCACGCTCCCCAGCAATCACGTGTGGGGCTTTCAGGAAGGAGATGGCACCCACACAGAGGGTGCCCACGGCCAGCTCTCCAGGAATCCTCTCATTTGGGGAGACTGGACCCAAACTTGGAAGCAGAAGTGCTGCTGTCCGGACCCTCCATCCTGCGGGTACTTTGTGGGGTTGAGGGACGTGCTCCCAGCCCCGATGGCCAGTGCAAGGGATGCAGGACACCGACTTGCAAGCAAATCATTTGCCACTCTTTCGCTAAAGCATTTTGAGTTCTGTAGACCAAGTTTAATTTGCCTGTAACCAAAAAAAAAAAGAGGCAATTTAAATAGCTCCTTTTTGGGGGGAAATCCAGGTCCTCTTGGTTAACAGAGCACAACGGTCCCAGGCTCAGGACCTGTTCAGCTACACCCGCGCAGAGCTGCTGCTGGTACAGCTTGGCAACTGCTCCGACCTCCACTCGAGACCCCGCTCAGACCCCAACTTGCCTCTGCCCCCTGTTCCTGCCCGGCCCAGCTCCCCCGGGGCTGCCAAGGGCCGGAGCAGC